CAAGGTGACATCATCATACGACATCATCATCATCTGGTAGTATTAAATAAGAGTGAGATCACTTTCCCAGGTTATTCATTTGACTTGTTTTTCTTTTTTAATTATTGCTACAAACAGTTCTGGGCAGTTAATAAAATAGTATTCTATAAAATCAGTAAAGAAAATTTAGCTATTGTTCTGAGGCTGTATTAAACTATATTAAAAGGATGTTTCAAACAATATCTTGTCTGCAAGCCAGTATTTTGTTTTGTTTTGTTTCGTTGGAGGTGGGGGGGCGGTTGGTTGTGGGGCTTGAACTCTGGGCCTGGGTGCTATTTCTGAGCTCTTCAGCTCAAGGTGAGTACTCTACCACTTTGAGCCACAGCACCACTTTCGGTTTTCTAGTGGTTAATTGGAGATAAGAGTCTCACAGACTTTCCTGCGCAGGCTGGCTTTGAACCACAATCCTCCTAAGTAGCTAGGATTATAGGTGTGAGCCACTGGCATCCAGCACCAGTATTGTTTAATACCATCTTTTCTGATTTCCTTAAAGTGTTACTTAAAGTTTTTACTACTTAACCTGTTTTTCTCATATGAATCATAAAACTATTTGTGTTAGGGACATATCAGCTATCCAAAGACTATTCCCACAGAGATGATTAAAATTTTGAACTTAAAATGTTTGAATTGTACACCTTTATAAAAATGGGTTCACAGTGGCTGGGCGCTGGTGGCTCACGCCTGTAATCCTAGCTACTCAGGAGGCTGAGATCTGAGGATCACGGTTCAAAGCCAGCCCGGGCAGGAAAGACCGTGAGACTCCTATCTCCAATAAACCACCAGAAAACCGGAAGTAGCGCTGTAGCTCAAGTGGTAGAGCGCTTGCCTTGAGCTGAAGAGCTAAGGGACAGCGCCCAGGTCCAGAGTTCAAGCCCCACGACCGACAAAAAAAAAAAAAAATGGGTTCACAATTTGAGATTGTTTCTAAATGCTTTGAAAATGTAAGTTACATTAGATATCTCATCTCCTTACCCTTAAGTAGTCTCCCAGTGTTTTAAAAAACAGACTTCCTCCTTAGGACTTACTGAGGTGACTTCTCCGTCTGTTGTTTGTTTGTTTTTTGGTGGCTCATGGCACCTGAACTCTGGGCCTGGGCGCTGTCCCTCAGCTCTTCAGCTGAAGGCTAGCACTTTACCCCTTGAGCCACAGCACCAGTTCCATTTTTTTCTGCTGTGTGGTGCTGAGGAATGGAACCCAAGGCCTCATGCATGCTAGGCAAGCACTCTACCACTGAGCCAACTTCCCAGCCCTCCAGCTGTTTTTTGTTTGTTTGTGTTTGTGTTTTGTGTTGTACTGGGATTAAATTCATAGCCTAGCACTTTCGCTTGGCTTTTTCACTTAGGACTTCTTGGGTTTAGCTTCCCCCTTCACTTGGTGCTTTAGCCTCCTTGGTCTCCTTTGAGTTTCATAAACATTGCATGGGTCACTTCGGAATAGATGGAAGAGTACCTTCTCAGAGAAGCCTCTCACCATCACCCTGTCTCAGTCAAATTACCTCCCCAGGTAATTTCTAGTTGACCACACTATTGCCCTGGCATTTGCTGTACCCAGTAATTAGTATTTTTATTAGAGTACTTATTGTCTTTTTCTCTACTGACAAAGAAATAGTATGAAGTAAAGAACCACTCCCCTTGACACAAAGAAGTCATTCAAGTATTTATTCAACAAGTGAATATATGGATGACTTACTATTTACACACAAAATAGTTTAACTTTCTTGTTTAATTTAATTCCAAGAGGAAGAAAGCTATATATTTTGAGATTGACCTGAAAATAGCACAATTGAGGGCAGTAATGTATGCTACTGTTGTTCTCTTCACTCTCATCATGATTTATTTTATGTTGATTCATATGACTGAAGTGATTTGAGGTCTTTTAAAAGAGCTATACCACATATATAGTTGTTTGTACATTAATCTTTACAAGCCTTAGATTTGCTCTGTTAAATATTTCAAAGTTAGAAGTTTCCATTTTTTTCTAATGTATACATGTGTAGTATCTTGTTATTAGAGTCTTGCTGGACACTGCAGGAAGCATGGTATTTCTCACATAGATTCCAAAAGTGTAGGGACAGAATTAAAGCCCCCTCAAAGGATTCTTTGCCATGAAGGTAGAATTCATGAGCAGATCAGTTGCATCTCACCAAGGACGAAACTTGGAGTTTATTACTGGGAAATCCAAACTAATCTAGGGACTAAATAACTTGCACAAGGTCACAAAGCAGTGAGAAATAATGCCAGGATTCAGAGTCAAGTTTTCCTACTGTCGAACTTATTCCTACTGTATTTTAGAACTTATGTTCTACTATGTTTTGTAATTTCCCTCGCTATTAAAAAAATTACTGAAATTTGCTTCACTTTTGTGTTTTTTAAAGAAATTAAAATCTTTGAACTCATCTGTTTGATATCTGTTACTGCCATTGTATACTGTATTACAATTTGCTGGCTTCTATGTGAGAATTATAAATAATTTTGACCAATATTAGCCTGTACTACTGAAACTTGAACATGTAAATCAATTGTAAATAATCTTTAAATCTTTGAACTACATATCTCAAAGCATACTTTGCTTTGTGGGAAGATTTGCTTAAGTGGTTCCTAGTAGTTTAAAGAACTGATTCAAGACTAACAGATGCAAGCAGTCTAATACAAGGCAATTGCTAGAAGCATGAAGTCTACCACAAGCAGTGATTTCACTTATTCAAATTGAATTTGTTAGGTTTGTCTATTTTGATGAAATCTCAATTTTATTTTTATTTATTTATTTTGCTAGTCCTGGGGCTTGAACTCAGGGCCTGGACACTGTCCCTGAGCTTCTTTTACTTAAGGCTAGCACTCTACCATGTGAGCCACAGCACCACCTCTGTTTATGTGGTACTAATGAATCAAATTTAGGGCTTCATGTATGCGAGGCAACCACTCTACCACTAAGCCACATTCCCATCCTGAAGTCTCAGTCTTTCTACTAACCACATTTTCAGTAGAAGGAAAAGTTATTACCTCAAAGAAAGCATGTAGGTTATGTTGGCCCAACAGACCAACCCTTCAGTCTGTATTCTCCATGGTAGAAGCAAGACTGATTTACCATTCTGCATATAAACCATGTTGCCCACTTCACAGTTACTAAACACAGTCTTTCTGGTGCTAGATTGGTCTTTTTTTTTTCTGCCAGTTTTCCTTATTCTGAAGTGATCCTTTCTTCTTCACAGCTATTGGTGTCAGCTATAGGCTCTAAAGGGCAAGGGCAGATGTTATGATCTGACATCTCAGTCTCTCCCTGTTTTCATTTAAAGTCGAGGATATATAGAAGGTATAGACTAGTCACTCTTGTATTCTTTTGACATGATATAGTATTTTTTATAATTCTGTTTATTATACCATCATGAAAGGTGGTTTGACAAATATATTACTAGACTAATATTAAATACCTTTGATGATCTGGATCATGAAAAGCATTATGGAGAGTACAGAAGAGAATCACATGATTCCTATTCTCTGAGACTATAAATATCTTTTATTCAGAATACATGTTAGGGCGGTGTATATGAACACATGCTCACTGGAACATTTAGGATATCTGAGAGATTCCCAGTGTGGTACAGTATGGGACAAGGAATTCAGAGAAGGAAAATTACATCTATATGAAGTCATCGGAGACCCAAAATGAAGGTGATATTCAAGCAGAGAGTTCTAAAAAGATGGTTAGGATTTCAACAAGATTGTAATAAAGACATTTAAAATAATAAGTTCAATCAGTGGCTCTGCTTTCAGATCAACAAAGTCACTTACCAGTGGTACAAATTCCGCCAAATTGCTTAACCCCTGTGTTCTTAGCTTTTAATCTAAAAGAGTATGAGAAACAAGCCAAGCACCAGTGGTTCACACCTGTAGCCTAGCTGAGATCTGAGGATAGTGGTTGAAAGCCAGCCCAAGCAGCAAAATCTGTGAGACTCTTATCTCCAATTAACCACCAGAAAATGGAAGTGAAGCTGTTGTTCAAAGTGGTAGAGTACTAGTATTGAGCACAAAAGCTCAGGGACAACACCCAGGTCCTAAGTTCAAGCCTCATGACTGACAAAACAAAAAAGAGCATAGGAATCAGAGTTGTAATTACAGAGGATTTTATAAAGGGAGATTCTGTAATGTAAACATGATTTTCTAGTCTCATACAAGTGTTAGAAATTTTCATACTAAATATTGGAAAGAGGATGGCCAATGGCGTGGAACTTAACAACTGGTAAAAGACATACATTACAACAAAAAATGTGTTAATTTAATATTGACTTACTCATGTTTCCTCATGTAGGAAAGTTATCCTAAATAAGTTTTTTAAGATTTATGTTGGACTTCCTCCTCCTCAAAATTTCAAATGACTTTTAGATCTCCAGGTGAGACTATGAGTTATAATGTTGGGTTCTATAAAATTAAGCTGCTTTAGTAAACATTGTAACATTGCACAAAGACAGTATATCCTGGAAATGTTTGTCTTACTGTTGTGGCTTATAGTCATCTGTCATCTATAAACTGTGGTTTATAGAACAAGTCTATGTGTTCTCAAGTGTGAATCTTGGTCTGATGGGATGTCAAGAGAATTCATTCATGTTCTTGTCTTTCATGGATTTCAAGCAGACTGAATAGCATTGTAAGTTGTACTCAGTAAATTTTTAATAACAACAGAAAAGCAGGACGTTCCTAGCATAAAAATCATCATGAGTTTGTGATGATTTGTCGCTTGTTGATATCAGATCTTGGACTCTCACTATCTGAACTCCAGTGAAATACTGGAATACTCCACCAAAGGTTTAAAAAAAAAAAACCTGGAAATCAGCAGTTTTTTAAATACAAATTGTTCATGGGGGAAAAAAAAAACTTTTTTAAAGACAATATCCCTCAAAGCTTGAATACTAAAACTGAGATTATTTTATTTTGATGAATAACAGTAGATTCTTTCTTCTTTCACAGACTATCTTGCTAATCATGGTCGGTTAAACGAGTCTGAAGCCAGGAGAAAATTCTGGCAAATTCTTTCTGCTGTTGATTATTGCCACGGCCGGAAGATTGTGCACCGTGACCTCAAGGCTGAAAATCTCCTTTTGGATAACAACATGAATATCAAAATAGCAGGTAATTGGGATGCAGCTGACTCTGTAAAGATCAGAGATGAGCTATTGTCCTGGGTGTACAGAAACAATCAGTAGCTATAGATGACATCAAGCTTTCTCAGAGTATACTTTCTGTTTCCGCAGTGTTGTGTGTGATTACAAGAAAGGGAAATAAATTTCTTATTAATATACACAGTGGCAGGGCTTCATCTGTGGTATGATTTGTGTCCAGGTTCCTGGTAGTTCTGTGTGGAAGAGTGATATATGTGAGTGTGAGTGATTTAGAGGGATAGAGAGGGTAAGAGGACAGTGCAGGTTGCTGGTGTTTTAACCTGCTCTTCTCGTTATGGTTGATGGTCACAGTAAAGGGACAGACAGAAAAAAAAGACAAAGGAACTGATAGAAGCAGAATGAGAGTGATTTGAGACACAAAAGCATCTTGCCTTGATCTGATAACAAAGATTAAGGGTAGAGATCAGCTTGTTTTTCTTCCCAGCCTTTGTACAATTACAGAAGTTTTTGTATTTTATGTTTTGACTTTTTCTTTGCACAATCAAACTCAGTAGGTATTTTATATGTCAGGTTCTGTGCTATGCTAAATAAAATATGATATGTGGAAATTATTTCACAGTATATACATATATCAAAACACCATATTGTACACCTTGAAAGTATGCAAGTGTTATTTGTCAATTATACTCTAATAAAACAGAAAAATATAGTGTGATAGTTCTATCAAAAAGATGTAGAAAGCCAGGTGCTGGTGGCTCACTCCTGTAATCCTTGTTACTCAGGAGGCTGAGATCTGAGGATTGCGGTTTAAAGCCAGCCCGGACAGGAAAATCGTGAAACACTTATCTTCAGTAAACCATCAGAAAAACAGAAGTGGCACTGTGGCTGAAGTGGTAGAGTGCTAGCCCTGAGCTGAAGAGCTGAGGGATAGTGCCTAGGCCCAGAGTTCAAGCCCCCATGACTGACAAAAAAAATATGTAGAGCTGGAGGTATAGCTCTGGCTACATTTGCCTAGCATGGGTAGGTCCCTACATTGGATTCCCCATCACTTTTTTTTGTGTGTGTGTGTCCATTGTGGGGCTTGAACTCTGGGCCTGGGCACTGTCCCTGTGCTCTTCAGCTCAAGGCAAGCGCTCTACCTCTTGAGCCACAGCACCACTTCCAGTTTTCTAGTGGTTTATTGGAGATAAGAGTCTCACAGACTTTCCTGCCTGGGCTGGCTTTGAACCAAGATCCTCAGATCTCAGCCTCCTAAGTAGCTAGGATTACAGGCATGAGCCACCGGTGCCCGGCTCCCCATCACTTTTTAAAGCTGGAGGTATACAAACTTCAGTAGAAGACAAATTTGAGGAAATAGCAGTTTCTCTGGGGAATCAGGGATGTTTCACAAAAGATGAACTATTTGAATTTAAGGCTTGAGGAACTTGCCAAGTATTTATACAGAATAAGGATGTTTCAGGCAGGTCAGTAGCAGTTGGAATGTTAAGAACTAGATTGTTAAACATAATATCTACAGACATAGGGAAGTGATAGGGTAAGAGCAGGCAGGTATACATAGTATATGAAGGGCCGTAAATGTCACATAAAAGATTTTTGAGATTATTCTACAGGCAGTGGGAAGCTAACCTACTGAAAAATGTAATGTGTGTATGGATAACATAGAATTGGGATAAACCATATGTTAGCATCTGTCTCTGGCTGCAGAGTTAAGGTGGATGGGAGCTATGGATAGGATTGAAGAGAGGCAGATTTATGAGAAATCCTGTGAAGAGCAAACAGGCCTAAAAAGAGCAGCATAGTCGAGGTTGCTGAATATATTACATAAATTAGCTGTTTCAGCTTTGTAGAATGTTGAAACTGACAAGCACACTAAGTCTAAATGAACATATTTGTCCGTGCTTATAAGGTAGAAGTCAGGCATTGGTGGCTCAGGAGGCTGGGATCCTGATGATGGTGCTTTGAGGCCAGCTCAGGCAGCAAATTCCACTAGACTACATTTCTAAACCAAAAAAACATAGAGCTGGGGGCATGGTTCAAATAGAGTACCAGCTAAACAAGCAAGCCAAGCATGCAAGACTTCAGACCTGAGTACCACCAAAAAATGAAAGGGAGGGAGGGAAGAAGGAGAATAAAAGTATTAGGCATGAATCATCCTAAAGAAAATACAGAAACATGGCTTTTTTGTGTGTGTGAAAATACTGTACAGAGGGGTTACAATTACATGGGCAAGATAATGAGTACATTTCTTATCAAGCATTGTAGCCTCCTCCTTCCCATCCCTTCCCATCCTCCCCCCCACCCAATCCGCCTCCCCCCTTCCCCCCCACCAAAGTTGTAAAGTTCGTTTCAACATAACGACTTGTACATCTCACTGTTGCAATGAGTCCACCTGTATCCCTATTTAAACGATTTGTTTTTTCCCTTCCCCTCCACAAATTATACTGCCATCAAATACAGTGAAAGCAGGGGTTATACTGTGGGGAGGGACATACAAAGCAACAAAGAAATAATCATATAAATGTGTTAGAAATAATCGCATGAAAGAAAAAAACATTTGAATACATATCTTAGGGTTCATTTCCCTAACATCAACTTATCTGACCTTTTCTGCTTGACTCAAACATATACTAGTTATTGCAAATAAGGGAAACCATGGGACCTATGTTTCCTTGGGTCTGGCTTACTTCACTTAATATAATTTTTTCCAAGTCTTTCTATTTCCTAACAAATGGGGCAATGTCATTCTTTCTGATGGAGGCATAGAATTCCATTATGTATATATACCACATTTTCTTGATTCATTCATCTCTGAGGGGCATCTGGGTTCGTTCCGTATCTTAGCTATGATAAATAATGCTGCAATAAACATAGTCATGCTGGTAGCTTTAGTGTGGTCTTGTTTGTGAACATTTGGGTAAATGCCCAAAAGTGGGATTGCTGGGTCATAGGGGAGCTCTATGTGGAGTCTTTTGAGGAACCTCCATAGTGCTTTCCAAAGTGGTTGAACAAGTTTACACTCCCACAACAATGCAGTAAGGTTCCCTTCTGTCCACATCCCCTCCAGCATCTGTTGTTATTAGAGTTCTTGATTATAGCCATTCTAACTGGGGTGAGGTGGTATCTCAATGTTGTTTTGATTTGCATTTCTTTTATGGCTAGGGAGGTTGAGCATTTCTTTATGTGTCTATTGACCATCCTTCTTTCCTCTTCAGAGAAGTTTCTCTTTAAGTCTTTAGCCCTCTTATTTATTGGGCAGTTGTTTCTTTGAAGATTTGTTGTTGGAGGATTTAATTTTTTGGCTTCCAGTTATATTTTAGATATGAGACCCTTGTCTGTTATATGGCTAGTGAAGATCTTCTCCCAATCCGTGGGCTTTCTATTGATCTTGCTAGCTATGTCCTTTGCCATGCAGAAACTCTGCAATTTGATGCAATCCCATTTGTCCAACCTTTCTTTGATTTGTTGTGAGAAACATGGCTTTTAAGATCAGCTTCTAGGGCTGGGAATGTGGCTTAGTGGTATAGTGCTTTCATAGCATACATGAAGTCCTGGGTTCCATTACTCATTGCCACTGAACAAGAAAAGCCAGAAGTGGTGTTGTGGTTCTAGTGGTAAAGTGCTAGCCTTGAGCAAAAGAAGCTCAGGGGTAATACCCAGGCCCAGAGTTCCGGAGTTCAAGCCCCAGGAGTGGCAAAGAAAAAAAAAATAGACCAGCTTGTAGTTTTTGCTGCCTGCTATGGTAATCACTTCAGACATTATTTGTGGCTTTTGCCACAGACTTGCCTGCCGCTTGTGTTTGCCTGTCACCTCAGACAGGGGGCCTCCAACCTTTGTAAAATATGAGCATTGGGATATTCAGAGTAAGAAGCTGAATGCAAAGCACTGTTAGCTTTCAGTAGTCTTAGTAATTGCAGTGCTATTTCCTCCTAGCTATTTTAGCTTACGGCTATTCAGGCCTTAAGTTGAAAAACATTTGATTTTATTCTCCAGTCTGAAATTCTTACAGCAAATACTTACAGAAGGAGTTAAATGTATGAATTAATTGGAGAAAGTCTGAAGAAAATGAACAGGGCTTGGATTGATGTTTTAACCTCTTGGGCCAGAGTTTCTTATCTATTGAAAAGTGTCTAATCTGTCTTTCAAGGACATTGTAGAAATCCATGATTACTATGGACAAGTAGGTAATACAGGGCACTAGCCCATTCTTTAGAGTCAGGCTACCTAGGTTTTAATCCTTACTAGCTCAGTGACCGTGGACACATTTTCCAACCTCTCTGTTCTGTTTCCTTATCTGTACTAAAGGAATGACACAGTTCACAGTGGCTCTTAAATTAATATTCGTTATGTATGTAAAACAGTGCCTGGTATGTAGTGTTAGTTTAAGTGTGTATAAAATAAATTATTAATTGAAGTTCAACAAAGTTGGGTTTTTTTTTCAACTAATCAATCTTTTTAAAGCCTTATTAGGGGAGAGGAGTAGGGATAGTAGGAGAAAAATGAAATGTACTCATTACCTTACTTATGTAACTGTAACCCCTCTGAACAGCACCTTGACAACAAAATAAAATAAAAATTTTTAAATGCTTATTTAAAAAGCCTTATTAGCACAAATCTTAAAAGAACAAGAAAATTTTAACCTCTTCTATTTGAAATGATCTCTTCTAGCTAATTAATTTTCCACTTTAATAAACCTAAATGTAATTCGTAATCCGTAATTAGCCCAGTAAATCTGACCTGTGTATTACAAGCCATTTGTTGTTTGTCAGAAAGAATATTTCCTTTCTGGTTTGATTTGGTAGCTCCCCACCTATCTGTGCTGTTGCAGCTAATAGCCTTCCTATGGACTAGAAGACATTGAGACAGGGTTCTGTGTATATGATTTTTAGTTTCATGCCCTAGAAGTGAAGGATACCTACTGAAAGTCTCACATTTGTTATCCTCCTGTGGCTTCAGTAAGAAGAGCCTTGCATGGCTGGGTGAGGTGGCTTATGCATGTAATCCTAGCTACGT